TAAAAAATTGGGTTGAATCCTTTGTTGCTGCATCCTCTGATCACTATATCAGCAACAGTATTGCTCGAGGCTGCACTTTACAATCCGAACACTTCCCAGCTGTGAGTGACGCAATTGTATCGGGTTCCATTTTTTTGGCAGTGATGACCTGTCACGTGGGGGCGGATTGCTGGCATCATGCCTCACACTGCTGGGAAACCAGACTGTGCAGTAATCAGAGTCGGGGATCTTGTACTACACTCCCCTCTATGTTCCCTCCTCTCCATCTACAGGACATACAGTAATCAGAGTCGGGGATCTTGTACTACGCCCCCCTCTATGTTCCCTCCTCTCCATCTACAGACCATACAGTAATCAGAGTCGGGGATCTTGTCCTACGCCCCCCTCTATGTTCCCTCCTCTCCATCTACAGGCCATACAGTAATCAGAGTCGGGGATCTTGTACTACGCCCCCCTCTATGTTCCCTCCTCTCCATCTACAGGACATACAGTAATCAGTCGGGGATCTTGTACTACACTCCCCTCTATGTTCCCTCCTCTCCATCTACAGGCCATACAGTAATCAGAGTCGGGGATCTTGTACTACGCCCCCCTCTATGTTCCCCCCTCTCCATCTACAGGACATACAGTAATCAGAGTCGGGGATCTTGTACTATGCCCCCCTCTATGTTCCCTCCTCTCCATCTACAGGCCATACAGTAATCAGTCAGGGATCTTGTACTACGCCCCCCTCTATGTTCCCTCCTCTCCATCTACAGGCCATACAGTAATCAGTCAGGGATCTTGTACTACGCTCCCCTCTATGTTCCCTCCTCTCCATCTACAGGCCATACAGTAATCAGTCAGGGATCTTGTACTACGCTCCCCTCTGTGTTCCCTCCTCTCCATCTACAGGCCATACAGTAATCAGTCAGGGATCTTGTACTACGCTCCCCTCTGTGTTCCCCCCCTCTCCATTATTAATATTATTATTATACAGGATTTCTATAGCAAAAACAGTTTGCTCAGCGCTGTACAATATAAGGCAGACGGTACAATTACAATACATTTCAGTACAGAAGGAATAGGAGGGCCCGACTCGTGGAGCTTACAATCTAAAGGAAGGGGGAGGTGATACAAAAGGTGATAACTGCGGGGGATGATCTGGTGGAGGTGATTCAAGTACAGTTCTTAGGTGGAGGTGGGGTAGGCTTCCCTGAATAAGTGAGTTTTCAAAGATCGCCTAAAGGCAGACAGAGTGGGGGCTGACCGGACATGCTGTGGTAGGGAGTTCCAGAGGATGGGAGAGGCTCTGGAGAAGTCCTGGAGGCGAGCGTGGGAGGAGGTGATGAGGGAGCTAGAGAGGAAGATATCTTGGAAGGAGCATAGTGGGTGATCTACAGGCCATACAGTATTCAGAGTCAGGGATCTTGTACTACGCCCCCCTCTATGTTCCCTCCTCTCCATCTACAGGCCATACAGTAATCAGTCAGGGATCTTGTACTACGCCCCCCTCTATGTTCCCTCCTCTCCATCTACAGGCCATACAGTAATCAGTCAGGGATCTTGTACTACGCCCCCCTCTATGTTCCCTCCTCTCCATCTACAGGCCATACAGTAATCAGTCAGGGATCTTGTACTACGCTCCCCTCTATGTTCCCTCCTCTCCATCTACAGGCCATACAGTAATCAGTCAGGGATCTTGTACTACGCTCCCCTCTATGTTCCCTCCTCTCCATCTACAGGCCATACAGTAATCAGTCAGGGATCTTGTACTACGCCCCCCTCTGTTTCCTCCTCTCCTCGCAGGACACTCCCCGCAGTGACTACACAGAGATCACACTCCCAGCACTCCAGGAAGAGCGACACCGAGAGAAGAAGAGAGCAAGACGGACTGTGTGCAAGTACAGTATACATTGTATATGTGTCCTATTCATTACATACAGACAGACATTGTATATACATTACAGACAGATGGCGTATATACATTACATATAGAAAGACGTACATACATTACATATAGAAAGACGTACATACATTACATATAGAAAGATAACCTACATACATTACATATAGTAAGATGACATACTGTATATATACATTACATATAGACAGACGGCGTATATACAGTTGTGTTCGAAATAATAGCAGTGTGTTGAAAAAAGTGAATAAAGCTGAAAATCCTTCTAATAGCTTTTTATTTCCATCCACACAAATGCATTGGGAACACGACACATTCTATTCCAAATCACAACAGGAAGAAAAATACATCAAATTTGTGTTGTTTCTCTAAAAAAAATTGAAGAAAAGTGAATATTAGACGGTTCAAAAAAATGGCAGTGTTTGTATTCTTCTTTACAAACTCAAACATTCACTATATAAACTGAGAAATGTTTGAAGATTTTGCTTTCCTTTGAATGACTTCATGAATATTTGGTTGTAGTCGCACTGTTTCTGAGAACTGCTGTACATCTGTGTTGCATGGAGTCCCCCAACTTCTGGCCCCTGTGATCAGGTATTCCAGCCCAGGATGATTGGACTACATTCCACAGTTCTTCTCTATTTCTTGGTTTTGCCTCAGAAACTGCATTTTTGATGTCACCCCCCCACAAGTTTTCTATTGGATTAAGATCCGGGGATTGGGCTGGCCACTCCATAACGTCCATCTTGTTGGTCTGGAACCAAGATGTTGCACGTTTACTGGTGTGTTTGGGGTCGTTGTCTTGTTGGAACACCCATTTCAAGGGCATTTCCTCTTCAGCATAAGGCAGCATGACCTCTTCAAGTATTCTGATGTATTCAAACTGATCCATGATCCCTGGTATGCGATAAATAGGCCCAACACCGTAGTATGAGAAACATCCCCATATCATGATGCTTGCACCACCATGCTTCACGGTCTTCACAGTGTACTGTGGCTTGAATTCAGTGTTTGGGGGTCGTCTGACAAACTGTCTCCGCCCACTAGACCCAAAAAGAACAATCTTACTTCCATCAGTCCACAAAATGTTGCGCCATTTCTCTTTAGGCCAGTCAATGTGCTCTTTGGCAGATTGTAACCTCTTCAGCACACGTCTTTTTTCCAACAGTGGGACTTTGCGGGGACTTCTTGCAGATAGCTTGGCTTCACATAGGCGTCTTCTAATTGTAACAGTCCTCACAGGGAACGTCACACCTTCTTTCATCTTCCTGGAGCTGATTGTTGGCTGAGTCTGCCCCATTTTGGCTATTCTTCTATCCATTCCAATGGTAGTTTTTCGCTTTCTTCCACGTCTTTCAGGTTTTGGTTGCCATTTTAAAGCATTTGCCATCATTTTAGCTGAGCAGCCGATCATTTTCTGCACTTCTTTATATGTTTTCCCCTCCAATCAACTTTTTAATCAAGGTACGCTGTTCTTGTGAACAATGTCTGGAACGACCCATTTTCCTCAGAATTTCAGAGAGAAATGCACTGTAACCAGCATGTACAACATTTGCTGCCTTCCTTCCTTAAATAAGGGCAATAATTGCCACCTGTTTATCAAAGAATGAATGACGTCACTAATAGAACTCCACACAGCTATTATTTTGAACACGCCCCTTTCAATGAGTGATTCAATGACACAGAATCAGCAGCACGCATGTCATGACTGTTGGGTCTGTTGGATTTCTATGACTCTACTACACCTGATAGGAAATTATTTGCCGTGTAGAGATATCATTTCCACCAAAAACAGTGATTGATCCGGTTAGTGATGTCTGACTGCTAGTATTTTGAACACAACTGTATATACATTACATACAGACAGATGTATATACACTACATACAGACACACTGTATATACATTACATACATACAGACGCCCTATACCCATTACATACAAACTGACGTATATACATTACATACAGACGGATGCCGTATACACGTTTCATACAGAAGGACGCCATATACACATTACATACAGACAGACGCCGTATACACGTTACATATAGTCGTACACTGTATACACATTACATATAGAAACATGCTGTATATACTTTGCGCATGAGATATGACATATGTAGCCCTCTTTTGGGGGCTTATGAGAAATGACCCCCCCCCCCCCCCCACAGGATATTGCCTGTAGGTAGAGAACCAGAACCATCACAAAGTAGAAGAGTGGAGTTGATAAAAAAGTTGGCCGTGCCACCACCCAGGACAGGACAGGGCCTCTGTGGGGAACAGGGAGGATTCCCTTCCTGGGAAATTCACCAGGAAGGGAATCAAAGTAATTGGGAGCGGAAGAACTACTGCAACCAGCATATAGCATTAACCACAGTATAGATGCACATCAGTATGGAAAAAATACAATGTGCAGACAGGTATTATCAGCAAAGAGCCTAACAAGAGTCCTGGTGGAATTGTGCACATATACTTGAATATATATAGTTATTAATAAAGACACCTCCAGATGAATGTGGCAGTCCAGTTGCAGGGGCCCCTTGAGGATGATCACGTTGAAGTTTCTGTCTTTGTGTCAGAGACCTGAAGACAAGATCAACGGTGATGGGGAGATCCTCCAACTGTTGTCCAACCAGTCTGGAACACAGCTTCTCACTGGCAGGAACTGTGGTGTGACACTGTAACTAAGCATCAGTCTACCTACTCTGCAGTTTAGTCCCTTTTTTGTAGTCTTTACTCTGACATGCAACCGGACCACTAACTACCTGAAGTGATCATTGGATACCTAACCTGGCTCTAGCCTAGACATTTTATAAAGTGCAGTCGTCAGCTACATGGTGCGAGGCAGTGGAAAAAGGACTTCTTTTCAGCGCACACCGCCCGCACACCACCACAACGCAGTGGTGTGAACCAGGCACATAGGAGACAAGGCATTTTACTCTGGAATAACCTCCCAAAGCATTCCCAATGCAGCTGGTGAGAATGAACCCTTGGTGTCATGAATGTGAACCATGTGATTGTACAATTGGAGAGAGTGCTGCTGGGAGCAAGAATGGAATTATTTTTCTGCAGAAAAAAGTGTGAGTCGTCTTGGCTTCAGTTCATTTGTTTTCATACCAGGGGCGGACTGACAACTCATGGGACCCCTGGGCAATAGGGGATCATGGGGCCCCTGTGTCCTTGCCCAAACTCAAAAAAGCCTATGAAAAAGGTACCAGGGGCATCTCATGGGGCCCCCTACTGACCCCGGGCCCTCAGGCAGTGCCCGAGTTTCCAATTGGTCAGTCTGCCCCTGTTTTATACCTTTAACAGAAAGTGACAAGAGAACAGATCGGTGTGGAGACCATTGTGGCCACAGAGAGTGTGCAATAAAAGCATGCAATGCCCCTTACTATGGCGATAAATCGAAGTATGAAAAAGCTCTGACGGGGGAGAGAGGGGCAGAAAGAAGATCCTATCAGGTGTGCTGGATATACACTGCTCAAAAAAAATGAAAGGAACACTTTGAAAACCCATCAGATCTCAATGGGGAAAGATCTGCTGTATCTCTATATTGATATGGATTGGGAAATGTGTTAGTTACGTAAGGATGCCCCATCGTTTGATGAAAATTATCGACCTACAGAGGACAGAATTCAAAGACACCTCACAAATCAAAGTGAAAGAATGATGCGGCAGGCAAGTCCATTTTGCTGAAATTTCATTGCAGCAACTCTAAATGGTCCTCAGTAGATTGTATGGCCCCCACGTGCTTGTATGCATGCCTGACAACATCGGGGCATGCTCCTAATGGGACCACAGATGGTGTCCTGGGGTGTTTCCTGCCAGATATGGACCAGGGCATCACTGAGCTCCTGGACAGTCTGAGGTGCAACCGGGCGGCGTCAGATGGACTGAAACATGATATCTCAGAGGTGTTCTATTGGATTTAGGTCAGGCGAGTGTGGGGGCCATTCAATGGTATCAACTCCTTCATCCTCCAGAAACTGCCTGCATACTCTCATCACATGAGAGTGGGCATTGTCATGCACCAGGAGGAACCCAGGACCCACTGCACCAGGAGGAACCCAGGACCCACTGCACCAGCGTAGGATCTGACAATGTGTCCAAGGATTTCATCCCGATACCTAATGGCAGTCAGGGTGCCATTGTCTAGCCTGTAGAGGTCTGTGTGTCCCTCCATGGATATGCCTCCCCAGACAATCACTGACCCACCACCAAAACGGTCATGCTGAACCACGTTACAGGCAGCAGAACATTCTCCACGGCTTCTCCAGACCCTTTCACATTTGTCACGTGTGCTCAGGGGGAATCTGCTCTCATCTGTGAAAAGCACAGGGTGCCAGCGGAGGACCTACCAATTCTGGTGTTCAATGGCAAATGCCAATCGATCTCTATGGTGCTGGGCAGTAAGCACAGGGCCCACTAGGGGACATTGAGCCCTCAGGCCACCCTCACGAAGTCTGTTTCTGATTGTTTGGTCAGAGACATTCACACCAGTGGCCTGCTGGAGGTCATTTTGTAGGGCTTTGGCAGTGCTCATCCTGTTCCTCCTTGCACAAAGGAGCAGATACCGGTCCTGCTGATGGGTTAAGGACCTTCTACGGCCCTGTCCAGCCCTCCTAGAGTAACTGCCTGTCTCCTGGAATCTCCTCCATGCTCTTGAGACTGTGCTGGGAGACAAAGCAAACCTTTTGGCAATGGCACATATTGATGTGCCATCCTGGAGGAGTTGGACTGCCTGTGCAACCTCTGTAGGGTCCAGGTATGGCCTCATGCTACCAGTAGTGACACTGACCCTAGCCAAATGCAAAACTAGTGAAAAACAGTCAGAAAATATGAGTAGGGAAAAAATATCAGTGGCCTCCACCTGTAAAACCATTCCTCTTTTGGAGATCGTCTCATTGTTGCCCATCTAGTGCACCTGTTGTTAATTTCATTAACACCAAAGCAGCTGAAACTGATTACCAACCTCCTCTGCTACTTACCTGACCAGATCAATATCCCAGGAGTTTAACTGACTTGATGCTAGACTCGGATTAAAAAGTCTTCATTGAATTTTTTTGAGCAGTATATATAGCACCCTGCTAGTTAGGCTTGTAAGAAGGTTGCCTGCAATGTGCTAGTTAGGAACTTGGCCGGCCCAGGCTGCGGAAGGGTTAATGTTCTGCACTTCTTATTCCGGGCTTTTTGGACTCTGCCTATCCACCTTGTTAAATAGAGGAGGGGGAAGACCAGGTTTTAGGCTCGCTGGCTCACCCTTGTCCTACTCAAGAAGATGCTGTGATTACAGTAAGGCGGCTGCTGCATCAGAAGTCCAGAGAACCACCAAGACTTGGAGGATGTCATTAGTGGACTACTACCTTGCTGAGGTAAGCATGAGCAGCCTAGTTGATCTAGTTAGGGAATATTGCACTGGTTGGACTGTGCCCCAAAATGTTCTGTGAAGTTGCATCAACTGTTTTAAGCCTGGTCTGAAGTAATTTAAAGGGGTGCATGAAGGTTCTTGGCATATGAAATAACAAGCACATGTGGAGTATGAAGCAAAGCCACTATGGAAGGTGTACTCAGCAAGAGTAGCAGAAGGAGTCATGCAGTTGCTATGGATACCCAGAAATAGTGCAAGGTACATTGCAGCCAGTCGTGAAGCGTGGTACCTGCTGTAGGTGACAGGTCCTCCAGTAGCGAGGGGGTTCGTGATCTGGCTCCATCCCTAGTAGTTTGTTTCCCAAAGCAACCGGTACCAAACCCACGGTACAGAGACCTCATGCTCATGGCCAGGGGCGGACTGACAACTCATGGGGCCCACAGAGCAATAGGGGATAATGGGGCCCCTGTGTCCTTGCCAAAACTCAAAAAAGCCTATGAAAAAGGTACCAGGGGCATCTCATGGGGCACCCTACTGATCCCGGGCCCTTGGGCAGTGCCCGAGTTTCCAAATGGTCAGTCCGCCCCTGCTCATGGCCAACTGTACCTTTAAGGAGGATTGGGCTCCTCTAGGCACAAATGCCCTTAACCTATCCATTGATACATTGTGGAGGCTCTAGAAATTGTAGTTACTGTAGGTCCGCAGTATACAGAGGACATTTGAGGCAGAACTGCGGCCTACGCGTGTATTTGCAAATATGTGTAAAACAAAACCCTCTGTTTTTATTGCAAACTGTTAGACACGGCCAGATTGGTTGTTTTGCAGGCTGGCTGGTAGGTGTTGCTGGGAAATCCTTTGTTTGTCATCCTCCTGGCCGTATGGTACGGGAGAGCAGGAGTTAACAAGTTCACGCATGAGGTCTGCGCTAGGTGCATGGCAGGACCCCATTCTGTCTTTGGGACTGAGGTGATGGAGGTATGCTGGACTGGTGGAGAGGGCCCAGAGTCGGGGGTGCCTCTGCTAAATGTATAATACAGAAGAGAAGTGTGTGTAGTATTATGGGGCAGCACTCTACAGAAGGACTCTGTGTAACTAATTGCTGCACATAGTGTACGAGTGTACGGCTCATCTCTGAGCTGGGGAACCACCATAATGTTTGATTCTCATGTGAACGCAGCCCCCACTTGGTTCCAGATATTGATGAATGCGCTTCGAACAAACAGGTATCCCCATGTCCAGGACTCAGTGACCCCACCCACAGGCTGCTAGACAAATTCAGTTTTGCCACCTTCTGTAATCAAGGGATCAAGGATTGTTTGGTCTGCTCTGTTTAGGGTTTCACAGGCTGGGAGTTTGATTGTTTCTCCCTGCCTCAAGAAAGAAGCTTCTAAAGATTAAGAAGGGATCATTCAAATAGCCAGCCTGAATATTGATCAGCACCTAGCCTATCCCTGGGGAGGTATGCACAGATGGTGGCCGGGAAGCTGATAAATAGTCTGGAGACCTGTAGAGATTGTTTTTCCCCAGCAAGGTGGAGTTAGCAAGGTAGAGTTCCCAACCTCGGGGGGGTGGGGGGCGGTTGCCCCTGAGGCAGCCTAAGAATTGAGTTACTGTTCTGTGATGTCTCAGGAGATGCAGTGCTGGGACCTAGAGGAAGCCTGCATCTGACTGCAGGATTTCTTAAGAGCGATGTGGTCTAGAGCAGCCTTTCTCAACCACCCTGGGGTGCCTTGGTAAAATGTCTAAAAACTGCCCAAAACTTGTATACAAGCCAGCGGGTGGAACAAGCCTGCCTTTTAGTTAAGCAAAGACACAGGCTTAGATTGTGTACCATTACTACCTTCTGGCCCCCGGTGTCCTGACAGCCAATGGCATCATCAGTTGATAAGGAGGATGTCAGCTGCCTGCACAGCATCCTTGATTGACCCCCTTTCCATCAGTGCTGGGGTCACATCAGCTCAGTGATGGAGAAAAACGGAGGGAGAGGAGAAACGCAGGAATACTACTCAGTACCAGGCTGCAAAAGTGTATTTGCTTTGGAAGAATAATCACCTCTAACATTGGGTGTCCTCCATGTGTGGATGTTGCTGAGTTCTATAAAACTAGAATAGATTTTCACATTTTAGAATGGGGTGCCTCAAGACTGTCCATAATTTAAGGGGTGCCTTGGGACTTTCCATAATTTAAAGGGTGCCTTGACTGAAAAAAGGTTGAGAAACACTAGTCTAGAGAAGGACTGTCTCACTCACTGGATTGTGTCTGGAGGAGGCTGAAGGATGCACAGCAGTCCTGGGAACTTGTAACGATGGGCTCACATGTTGTGACTTCAGTTTGTGCTGATCAATTCCCCTAGATCCATGTATTAATCTACCTCCCTTGTCCCTATTCACCAAAGGGACAGGAAACTGTTTGTTCAGGGTTACACAGTATCCAATCCATGCCTCACCATTTCCTCTGTGCTGCATCACAAATGTAGGAGTGCTAATGTGACGAAAGACTGCATATTGATCTCTCTGTGAAGTGTTTTGCCTGTGTGTGTCTGTGTCAGATCTAATTACTAATTACTGTTTAGCTCTCACCTGCGAACACTACCAGTGTTTCTCAATCTTTTTCCATTCAAGGCACCCTTTAAAATCCTGCACCGTATTCTAATATGAACTCCTTGTGCGTTCAGGAGAGGGAGGTTTAACCTCACCGAAACGTGGAAGCTCCTAAACTCTGCTAAAAGCTTATGTGTACATGGACCCATAGGCTTTTATGGAGTTGAGTTTAGGAGCTTTGGCAAAAAAATGCCAAAAGCTCCTAGACTCGAGTTTAGGAGCTGCTTGTGTACATGGAGTCTTACATGTTTTACTAGTACTCCAGCATT